CCAGCCTCTATCCACATGGTCCTTGTTGCCATAGCAGCCTCTGGGCAGATCCCCTATATTCCCAAAGCCCCTGTACAGCTGTGACGAGGAGGTAAAGGTGGCACTGTCAGAAGACATTTCTCCCTTGGTTACTCACCCACGGGTGATGTCCTTCTGTGGTCCAGCAGTCAGGATGAATGTTCCTGCTTGATGGCTCCATAAGGCAGGATATAAAATGCCCGGGTCACCATTACCCGCCTACATACGTTAGGCTTCATTGCCTGTGCATCTGAGAGCAAACCTCTTTTTTCTTCTTGTAGCACTAGAAAAAGATAATTTTCCCTTAAAGCCCTGAAAAATGTCTCGAAAATATGAAAAAGTTTCAAGAAAACTAAAGGACTGCTAACTTGTCTTGGAAAATCAATGTGAAATGCTTTGGGTTAAGGTTTATTTAAAAAAGAAATACACCTTCAAAATTTTACAGGAGGTCATACATTGTTTTCATTCTCCGATGGGCTCCCAGGGGGAAATCCCTTAAAATAACTTTGTTTATTAGTCTTTGACTAATTCACTAGATAAAATCACTGTGTATAAAATAGCAACTTTATGAAGGTGGTGAGTAATTCTGTAGATTCCACTGAGGCCTGGAACTTTGAGCTTTGCTATAAATTATGGTACCTGTTGCAGTTCTGTACCACACACACGATGGGAACATTTTTTTCTGAACTGATAAACTGGAACTAAACTAGTTGTGTGAAGTACCTTCTTAAGATCTTTAACCAATTATTTCTAAATATACAGAACATAAATTTATGAGTTACGTCATTTATACAAACATCTATATTGAAAATAAAAACCGAATTTCACCACTGACGTTTGATAAAGGATGCTCTTGGAAAGAAAATTATAGAATATCCGATATTTGCAAGCTACTGTCATTAAAATGTTTAAGTAAAAAAAATAAGTTTTAAAGGAAAATATGGACAAATAGTGACCTCTGTTTAAAATGAACATCAATTGCTAGATGACAACAAATCAAATTCTGGATTAGCAAAGACAAATTAATTTTGCGATTTAACTCCATAGATAAAGAAGGACTGAGAATCAAACGTAATAGGCTATGTTAACATTGCTAGTCTACGGGAAAAAAAAAGGAAAAGAATAGCAGACCCAGATGGAAACAGAAGCAACAGCGAGAGCGTGCTTTATTTTGGCATATTTTTAGCTGAACATATAGAATTCAAACATTTTTAAATGATGTTTAAGAAAAATCAGATGAAAAATTTATTTACTCTGGGAAATATTTGGAAGTACTTCCAATAACGGAGAAACTATATTCTACCTCACAAGAGCTACGATATGCTTTCCTCTTCTGAATTAAGGGTTTTGCTGTCTTCTGGGAGAGAGGAGGAAAGCCCGTTTGATGCTCCAATATTTCTACTCTTTTAGCTAATTTATTGCAAGAGCGCCTGCATGTGACTGCTGCCTACTATTTCATTTTGTAGGATGTCTTCAAAGTCTTTTGAGGATAGGGTCACAATTCACCACGTTTTACCCGTGACCTTGAGAACCGTTCGTATAAGGTCAAGAGAGGACATCCATCCCCCAGAGATGACCTTGCCAACACTTACCATCTGTTGCTTGAGCACCATCTTCTTATGGGTCCCTGTGGGCTTCAGTCCCAGCCTTCGAGCCAACCCAATAGGGCTGTGTCATGTCTTCAGATGTGCGCTATGCTCTCCCACATGAAATCTCCCACCATTACTGGGACACGCCTCTCTTTTACCCCCAAGCTCTTCTCAGAATGTTCTTCTCCACTTATCTGACTGGCAAACTTCTACTCATGCATCAGCGCCCAGGTCCCGCCAGCTCCTCAGTGATGCCTTCTCCAGTTGTCTCAGGGCAACCTAACTGCTCCTGTGGACCGTCACTGCCCTCCACTCACCTGTGACCTGACACTTACCATGCTGGGCGGCACTTCACCCACTCTGAGTCTCCCTGTGAAGCTGAGTCATTCCGTGGCCACAGCTCACGGTGTCTGGCACACAGCAGGTACCCCATCAATGTTTGTTCTGCAGATTAGTGCTTGAAAAGAGACAGACTGGATACAGGTCTAAGTTTCTATATATTTGAAAAGATAAAGTATTTCCAACTAATTTTTTTTTTTTTTTTACCACGAATGTTTTTGAGATTTAAGACAGCTTGAGTTTGAATTACAGCATTCACAATTGAAATTTAATTGTTTATATCATAACTCATACGGCATATTAGAATTTTATTTATTTATTGGTCCCCTGCCCACACTCCCGCGTGGCATGTGGGATCTTAGTTCCCCAACCAGGGATGGAAACCACGCCCCTTGCAGTGGAAGCACAGAGCCTTAATCACTGGACCATCAGGGAAGTCCCTAGAATTTTTATTTTTAAGCAGTGAATTCAGTTCTCTAAATGCACCCATCCCACCCTCCACCCAGAGTGTTGGAGTCTCTATGTAATCATATTATGGATTGTACATTTTGAGTGGAAATTCTGCCAGATCCTTATTCCAATATTGATTTGTATCACATATGGGTGTGTGAGTGTGTGTGGGTGTGTTAGGAGCTGGGGCCTGTGAAGATGGTGAAGGAACAAAATGGGTGTAGACAAACGGGGCATCCAAAGGGCAAGGCCCTGGGAAGGAGCCTTTCAGGCTGACAAACCCGCTGTGCATCTCATCTCCAGGTGTCTCTGCCTTGTGCATCCCATACAGTGGTTACAGAGAGGGTTTCCCATCCTCTGCCCCTCCTTGCTTTTGAGTGAGTTGATATGAATACAAATGTGCACACTAGTTAGAATACAAACGTGTATGCTTGCTAAATACTGGAGCAGTGATAGTCTAATCTGTGTCTAAAGTCTCTTTATCTGGTATTTTTAACACAATGCTCTAAACAACAGCACCCACAATTATTCTCCATTAAATGTGGCGCCATTGATGACTTCCCTTAGTGATTAAAGTGTCCAGGACAAGCACCCACACCTGCGGGGCACAAATAATGGATTGCTGCTTTGACAGCAGGTCTGCATCCCTGGCTTCTCTATTAAACAGTCTGCCTTCCTGTCCCAGGTGGCTAAACTCAGGGCAGAGACCAGGTTGATACGACTGATCTCCACCTCTCAGTGCCTCACCCAGGACTGTGCTCACGTGACATCAGATTCAAACAATCAACAACACTCTCATTTCCTAGGTGTGCCCCGAAAGAGTGGTTGAATTTTCCTTCTTTCGTTACTTACTGATTCTTCATATTTCTGCAAATGGTCACATCTTTAATTCATTTGTGACACACTCTTTTAACTGAGAAAATATTATTTCAAGTTTTGGTAGAATTTGCTATGTAGGAATCACAATGCTACCTGTAAATGTTAACTATTCTATTACGAATCATTCAAAGGTTATTTTTTAGAAAATATTAATAGAATGTAAAGCATTTTATTTCATATGCTTTAAAATCTAATCATCAATTACTTCAAATGACCTACATGTCCAACTCCTGTTTCTAAGGAAAGCATGACCTCCTGCCTCATCTATTCTGTTGCTACCCATTAAAATATGCCATTTACCTCCATTAGAAGGAGAAAAAGGTGCAAAATCCCCAGGTATCACTACTTAGCAACCTGTTCCTGGGGAGTCAATAGCCTCATTTTTCTTTTCCTCTTTTCATTTGAAAAATACTTATCTAGTAAAAGAGAAACACTTCTCGCTGCTGGAGAATATATTTCCCAGGACTTCATTAAACCAAGTAATAGAATCAGTGTTTAGATGATTAAGTAGGTATATAAGCTTTCACAAAAAGAAAATCTAATTAAGATGGTACTCGTAGAAATCAAGACACGAATAATTAACAAAAATAACTGCGGCTGGTCTAGGAGAGGGCTATGCAAATGTGAGGCAGTGTTATTATTACACGTGCAATGGTACAACGTTTTGGTGAGCTTTTAGGGTTATAAGTATGCAGGGTGCCCTGCCTGTGAAATATGTACTGCAGGACAGGCACACCTCGTTTTATTGTGCTTCATTAAAAAAATTTTTTTTATCGTGCTTCACAGACATTGCGTGTTTTACAGATTGAAGGTTTAGGGCAAACCTGTGTCAAGCAAGTCTATTGGCACCATTTTTCCAACAGCATTTGCTCACTTCGTGTGTCTGTGTCACATTTTGGTAATTCTCACAATATTTCAAATTTTCCCATTATTATATTTGTTATGTGACCTGGGATCAGTGATCTTTGATGTTACTATTACAACTTGAAGGTTCAGGTGATGGCTAGCATATTTTTAGCTTTTTAAATTAAGGTATGTACATTGTTTTTTAAAGAATTAATGCTATTGCACACTTAATAGACTGAAGTATAGTGTAAACATAACTTTTATATGCTCTGGGAAACCAAAAAATTTGAGTGGTTTGCTTTATTGAGATACTCACTTTATTGCGGGTCTGGAACTGAACCCACAATATCTTCAAAGCATGCCTGTAAACTATTTTATTCCAATTATCTTTATCTTTTTACAAGCCCTCTGTACTGTTTCAGAAGTTAGAAAACAAGCCATAATTCCTAGAACTTGCATTCCTGGTGACAGGTTAATTCATCCCACACAAAAAGTCATGCTCAAGTTTGCCAACCAGGCTGAGGCATGAGGAAGACCAGTGCATCACAGAATCACCTCTGTGCTTTGCCCTTGAGGGGCACTTTGGAATTTGCCCACAGCATTCTAAACTCTTCCCCATTGGTAGCATGCCTGAAAAATTACACATGGAGCAAAACGTTTGATAAAAATATATTTAAAACAAGCAAGAAAAAAATAGTTTTGACCTTAAGGATAATGTTCACCATTCTTTTAACCAAGAAGAGTTAAATACTATGTATAATGATTTCAAGTACCAACTTATAAAAGATGTGATAAATCAGAAAGCAAAGAACAGGAGGACCCTTTTTTTCAGAAAAATGTATTTGCAATTCAAATGTTCATATAAAAAGCATAAATTTAAAAAAGTTCATAGATGTGTGTTTTTAGAAGTGCTATGGTTTTGCCATTCACTGCAATTACATTCCAAAATGTGCAGGGTGGTCCACACCGCACCTTCATAGCTTTGTCACACTGAAGTCACTCTCATCACAACCTCCCCCGAGCTGTTATCTTCTGACAAATCTTCATGGGGCCTCATCCGATTGAACAGATGTAATAACATGTAGCCACACTGAAACCTTGGGGAGGTCAACTGTGTTGGGTGGACCAAGTTCCTGTTTCGTAGAGCTGTCAATGGCAACCATAAAGTTCTGCTTGTGGAAGACTCTCCCCGGCTACTTTCTTCGATGTCTGTGGCTTTGTCATAATTTAATACATCCCAGTGTAAGTTGACAGCTCGCCAGCGTTTAAACACTCTGTAAACTGCAGCTCCTTCATGGACAATGAGACCTAAATTTGAGGGAAAAATGAAAAAGACTGGTCATCATCAAAAGTTGAGAGTGTTATTTTGTATACAAGTAAGATTAAAGATATAGTCGATTCTCTGTTACGCATCATCATCAAAAACGTGGTATTCTGACTGCTCAAATACTATGTGTAATGGCAAGCTACTACCTGTATTACACAGGATTTGTCAATATTCACAAATAAGAATCCACTGCCATGCAGACCGTAAAGTCATCATGGGTATAAATTACTTGCTCCATTATGGCTCAGAACACCCTTAGGCATTTACGTTGCCTTAGGAGAACCATTAGGTTCATTTCTTCATTCAGCATCTCTTTCTTGAGTGCCCACTGTGAGCCAAGCAATGTGTTAGGGACTTGGTCCCAGTTGGCAACTTGGTTTGTGAAAGAGACAAATATCAAGGTCACTGCCATCTCCCCAGCTTCTAGAACAATGCCTGACACACAGGAGATACGATCGAACCTTTTGTTATTTTTCCTCTCCTCAACAATTCAGTAAATATTTATTAAACGTCTACTTGAGAGATTTATGTATATTATCTCATTTATTTCTCACCACCCCCTTACAAAGTAAGCACTAGCATGTCCCCCATTTTACAAACAAGAAGTTGCTCAAGAGCAGACAGGTGGCAGCGGTGGAGCAGGGACTCAAACCCAGGCAGGCGGGCTCCAGAGGGCTCTTTGCTGCTATACAGGGAATTGATGATTCCATATTTCTGAGACAAACCTTCAGGAAAGTAAACAAAATAATACGGGAACCTTGGGGACTACAAACTAGCCAACCATAAGTTGGATATGGTGCCCTGTCCCATGGCTCCATCTCCACCATCCACTCCAGATCCCACCATACCCTGCATTTTTCACACATTTATATTTCAATGTGTAGTCCAAAAGCTTTTGAATCTGTGACCTAACACAAAAAGGAGTTCCTGGTGGGGAGGTCCCTTCAGGTAGAAAAGTGAGGGGGAGCTTCTCTCAGAGGGATTTGCAGCTCCATTGAAAGTTGGAGGAGAAGCCAATGAAGCCTTTCCTAAGAATGGAACATGGCACGTAAGGAGGATGTGTCAGTTTTGACACCATCACTTTTAACCAAAATTTGAAAATGAGAAGATCTTACCACCTCCTAGCATTTAGAATCTCGGGAGTATGTCCTAGAGAAGCTCTCATAAATATGAAAAAAGAAGCATGTTCAAAAATGTTTATTACATATTTGTTTGAGGGAAAAAACCGCAAACCATCTCAATGTCCATCCTGAGAAGAATGGACAAATTGTACTGGGTGGATCTAAAGGACTACAGCAATGAAAGAGAAGGGAACGAAGTCACATGCACTAACACGGATAAGTCTTAAAATAAGAGTGGAAATCTCAAAGCCACATAACAAATGAAAATTTCAGAAGTATAAATGATTGGAGTGAAGAAATACTATACATTTTTATGGATACAGATACATATGGTTAAAATGTTAAAACGTGCATGGGAATAATAACCATTAAATTCATGATAGTGGGGGGGGGTGAAATTGGAGAGAGGCTTCAAAGAGGGCTTTCTATCGTGCCTTTAATATCGTGGTTTTTTTAAGCTGAGTGGTGGGGATATGAATGTTTAACGTGTTATTCTATATACTTTTCATGTACCCAAATAATTCATAATTTCAAAAGTTATGGAAAATTTATTAGGAAAGTTGACCTAAGGTGGGTTGAAGAATAGACAAGAGAAGTAGGGGAGACAAGTAAGGAGGTTACCGCGTTATATGTGAGGAGCAGAGAGTTAGCAGTAAGGAGAACACAGAGAAACAAAGCAATAAACTTGTCAGAGGAAAAACTGACAGAAATTGTAAATGCAAGAAGGGGCAAAAAAAAATCAGAGGCTCACATTTTTAAGGCTAGAAGACTGGGTGACTGAAAGGATGATAGTAACCTTCCCAGAGGTATAATGAGTACGGGTTTTGAACAAGTTTTTATTGAGGAGATTCTTTCTTTTTTTTTTGTCAACTAAAACAATGCCACAGAGGTGATGGACATACCCAGTCTTTGAAAAATCACACCTACCTAATATGAGAATTTAAAATTTACATCTATCCCTTACCAGGAGACAAACTCCTGGCACACGTGACTTAAGAGCATTCCAAAGATACTAACATAGGCCATTAAAAGATGCATATGCTCTAATAAATAGAAACGTCTTAAGCCCAATTATTGTACACCACCAAAATAATGAGAAGTAATGTAAACTTCTGTTCATCATAGCAATTCAATGGTTTGATCCCTTTTTCCTAAAGAATAATCAGAGTTGACCCAACTGACCAGATGTTTTGGGGAAACAGTCAGAATTATAAGTCAAGACTACCAGAATTTAATTGATAATTCTAATATCAGCTTTCTGAAATCTCCCTGGCTAACGATTTAACTTTTCTGGTTCTGTTTTTCCTCCTTAAAATGCAATTGGAATGCCTAATCTATACATTCAGTGGGATGGTATGAAGATAACTTGGAATTCATGAACTATAAAGCACTCAGATTTCTTTGGAGATGGTAACTATCTAAATACAAGACATTGTTATTGATTAAAAAATCAATAGTGAATCTATGTGGTGAGAAGCATTCATTCACACTAATCATAAGACCATTACAGTCTGCAACAGGTTCATTCTTGTTAAGTGCAGTGACGGGGGGCTGACTTCACCAGGGGAAACCACTCGTTTCACAGGATCCTCTTCTTTTTTTTTTTTTTTAGTGATTTCCTTTGAAAGGCCAGAAATCAGATCATTTACTCTAGCTGAAAGTCACTTTCTGGGAATATATTCCTGGTAGCACTTTTCTAAATATTATACATAAATCTACCCAATGTGCAGCAATAAATCCCATAGGTCTTTATAGTACATTTTGAACTAAATTTAAAGAAAGAGAACTACTTGAAGTTCTCATGAAGACATAGTCGTCCTGAATTTCCAGCTCCATGTGCTGCTTCTTCATTGCATTCAGGTCATGAGTGACGTTTAGACTTTGCTTTATTCCCCATGAAAGTTTGGAATTACTCCTCATCCTCTAGAGGCTTAAATTTTACTGAAATAGGAGGAACCCCATCTCACCCTCCTTTGTAATGTACACTTTTCCCCTTTCTCCTTAAGATTTTTCTGGGGCAGTGGCAAATGCCACTTGTTCTAGTGGTTATGAGGAGACTTGACTACTGTGATCATTGAAATCCAGAGGTAAGGATTCATTTAACTCTAGAACAATGTGTTGGGAATCTGGCTATGAAAAATCGTACTGCCCTCCTGTCTTACTGTGATAGGTCCCCTCTTGTTTCATAACTGATCAGTTCACATCCTTGAGTAAGCCTTCACTCTCTGTGTAATACCTCAAGTTAAGCCTTAAAATGAATCTGTCACCTTGACATTTCAGGTCATAGGAAGACGGGCTTGGATTTGCTCCATCTGAGTCACTAACTCTGAAGGGAAAAGCAATTACAATTTCTATAAAATGTAAATATTAAATGTTACTTGCTACATTATTAATGGCAAAGGTGTCAACAAGGTGTGATTCATGGGAACTTGGGGTTTTGAAACTTGAGGAGCGTGTGTGTGTGTGTGTAGGTGTCCCTGTGTGGGCAGTTGGTTGTTTCTTATCATTTTCTTGCCAGTAACATTAATTGGAGCATTCCCTTATTGATGTGCAAAGGAACATTTTTGTTAGGGAATAATCTTTCACGACAGAGCAGGTTTAAGTATTTTCTGGTTTCATTGAAATAAAAGCACAGTGTTTACGTAAGTAAAATATATCCCAAATTTGGAAATGGTGTGTTAGTTGAAATTCTAGGCTAACTACCCACGAAATAATGGGAAGGCTCTCAAGGTACACAGACCCACACATGTGCGTGTGTGCACACACATGTACACACTCACCATTTGTCTATGTTTATTTCAATATAGACAAATGGTGTGTTACAATTAACAGAAACTTGCAAAATTTATGTTCAAATACAAACAAATGTTGATATTAACTACCAAACCACCAGTCTAACCATTTCACTTCTTGTGTTGCTTGTTTCAGCTTTTGTTTGAATAGATTTGGTCATTTTTCATAATTTAAAAACTAAATTTTTATCAACGGTCTGTTCTGTGCCAAGAGCTTTTACATGCACATTTTTCATTTAATCTTGACTGCGACTCTACAAATATATATTATTGAATAGTTTCATAGTTAAGGAAATTGAGACCTAGAGAGATTTAGCCAATTGTCCAACATTATGAAGATATCAGCTCTGAGAAGGAAGCCCAAAATTTGTCTATATGTAAACCTTGAGTGCTACAGTGCTATTCATTCTAAATATCCAGTGGATGGCAGCCTCTCCTAGTCATAGAATGACCAACTGAAAGAGATATTGCTATGGACTGAATGTTTGTATCTCCCCCAAATTCATATGTTGAAGCCCCAATCTGCAACATGATGGTATTTAGAGGTGGGATCTTTGGGAGGTAATTCATGAGGGTGATTAATGCTCTTATAAAAAGAGGGAGAGTCATAAGTTTTCTGTGTGTGTGTGTGTGTGTGTGTGTGTGTGTGCGTGCATGCACCAAGGAAAGGCCATGTGACAGTATAACGAGAAGATGGCTGTCTGCAAACCAAGAAGAGAGCCCTCACCAGACTGAATATGCCAGCACCCTGACCTTGGACTTCCCACAGCCTTCAGAACTGTAGGAAATAAATGTTGTTTAAGCCACCCAGGCTGTGGTATTTTGTTATAGCAGCTCAAACAGGCTAAGACAGGCTGGGTATAAAAACAACTTCATCCTCATTTAAAATATGAGTAAATTAAGCCCCGGAGACTATGATTTGGGCAAAGTTATACAATTAGTTGCCATTTTTAATATCCTTGTGTGTCACCGATACTGTTTCATCTCTAGGAGTGCCAATAAAACAGTGCCTTCCATCTGTCCCCATCCTAGGAGAGAAAAGGGTTGAGGAACCTTATATGAAGGCAA